CACACACACACACACACACACACACACTACTACACACACACACACACACACACACACACACACACACACACACACACACACACACACGCTCACGCACACGCATGCACGAACGCACGAACGTACGAACGCACGCTCACACGCACGCACACACATATATAAATCCTTCTAGAGTTCACCCTATTAGTGAAAATTTTTAATATTCAAATCTATTTATTCGCGCAAAATAATTAATACGCTAGTAACTAGATGTATCGTTCAAAATGTGTGAATGTGAATGAACATATTCCAACGGTTGTCACGTCTATGCTGTTACTAATATTTTCAGTAACGGCTATATGGGGTGTTTATAAAATTTAATGTCAATTATATCGTTGAAATTAGCTGATCGGGATGACAGATATACTGAACATATCGTCATGAGCTGATCGCTCATTTTCGTAGCCTATAGATAATAGATAATAGATAGATACAGATAATAGCCTAGCGAGCTGCTAGAGCGAGATAGTCGCTTGTATACAATTTTTAGTATAATCTATTACAGTAGATATACGATTTATTTTCTATTCTATATTTTAGTCGGGCATCGCAAACTTTTTTCGTATTCTTTTACCTAGGTCATATGTATATGACACCAGAAGTTAGCAATATAAACATTGCAAAATACTTCGTCGTTTTCAAATGATTATCCTGATACGGCGCGAATATGGGTTGATATAAAAAAAATTGCAGCCTGTTTATTGCTAGCTAGTCAACCAAATAGTAGGTATAATGCAATTTTAAAATTTAAACTCTAACTATGACTTAACCATTTGTATATGTGCGTGCGTGCGTGCATTTCGTGCGCGTGTGTTTGCGTACATGTGCGTGTGTAGGTTTGATTGTGCGCGTGCGCGCGCTTGTGTGTGTGTGTGTGTGTGTGTGTGTGTGTGTGTGTGTGTGTGTGTGTGTGTGTGTGTGTGTGTATGTGTGTGTGTGAAATGCTAATACTGCTGGCATTCTGTTATAAGGTAATTATCACACAGGCCTATACGATGTATCAAGAACGAATAATCTATGCTAAACAGTCATAACCAGTTTTTGGTATTTAAACTCAACCCAATCATACATTGGTTAGGTGTCAGAACTATTAGATAGTGCTGACACCTACCGTTTTTGTACTAGCAGTAATTTTTATTTCTAAACGTTAAAGATTATATTTTGTTCGTATATTGTAATGTAATTTGTATTCTGTGACAATCGTTTGCGTTTACTGTTGGTGTCTAGAATAAAGGCATTACAATAAATATGATTGTGTTGAGTGATATGATAGGTTTTGTATAAAAACTGACTCTTAATTGCATAAAAAATATATCAATTTTAATATTTAGGAGATTTTAGTTACAGCTAGAGTTTTAATCTTAAAAGACATGTAGCCACTAAACTGAGATATAATTATATAAATGATTAAATAATATAAATGTCTACACACAGAAAACGCAGCTTAACTCAACCCAGCAAGCCGCAAGGTTCGTGCTTGTCTAGACAATAGCAAGCAGGCCGAACAAAGCCCCGCATCATCGAATAAAGAGTAGGACTATCTACGAATTCAGGTCGAGATATTATGCGGGCATGGTAAACACCTACTTGTCCTTATCGACTGGTTTTCGCAGCTGCTGAAATGTGCCTCTCGTGATGAATCGCTGCCATCTCATGAAGTTGTCGAAGTGATTAGCAGTCGCTTCAAACTTCAAACGCAAAAATATCGATCGCACGTTATTGACTATCAGCAATGAATTGGTTCTGCACGTGTTAATTCGCGAGAGAATGTGTATCTCGAGGCAAGTGCATGCGTGCGTGCGTGCGTGTGCGTGCGCGCGCGTAGGTGTGCGGACGTGATTACGTGCATGCGGGCGTGCATCCCCATGTAAGAATCTGCTAGGGGGCGGATATACGTGTGGATCTGATAAGGGATCGTACACCAAATTCACCGCCTCAACTGCTTCGCCTCCCCCCTTCCCCTCCCACGTCACGTCCCACAACCATCGCCGATGTAACTGAAAGCTTGGCAAAATCGATGCCCTGTGCAGACAGACCCACTTACTCCTTCGTATTCCTCTTCGAGTAGAACTACGTTCTTGATGTAATCTGGGTAGCCAACGAACTCCTTCACAGCATCCGCCTGATGTGAGTATATAGCAACAGTACGACGATGAGTGTCGGCGAACCATCGGTGCATGTACACACAAAACGCGCATGTCAAAGATCTTCTACGCAATGTATATGTATATGTATTTGCCGTCGTAAAACGGGGCAAACGCTTTGCTGCTCGAAGGCTGGGAATTTGTGAACGAGAGCAAGGCCGCTCTCACGTTTTTTTAATCAATTCACGGCGTTTTGCCCTTAGTTATTCGCATCGTATATTATTTGATTTCAAAAACGTCAACTTCCCTTAGGGGTTTCATCGCGGTAAATCGTGAATGGGAAACACACATTATTGGAATTGAGATCGATGCGACGCAGCATAGTCGTACGAACGTATATAAATATTTAAATTATTCATTATTTTCATTGTTCTCATGCAGCGTTGTATATGTATTGGAGCTAGTTGCATATCAACATGTGCCTATATCTGGTACTCTCATTTACCTTCTCAATAGCAACTTGCTTAGTCGCGTCCGTCATCCATTTCAGTTTGAGAACTAGATCTTTAAAGGACTCTCGCAGATGACCTATGAGTTTTACTGCCTAATAAAAGAATGCGATTACATTTCAGCTTACGGAAGACCATCCGTAGACTTCATAATGGCATATATATACACATTGACAACGGTGACTTCGGCATGGTACACTCGACCTACATTGCTTCAAACATCACCATCAAACGCTCATAATTTCGCGCGAGGTCACGTGACCCGAATAAGCAATCAAATATACGTAAGCACGCGGGGCTGCTCAGAAATAATTCGATGAAAAAAACATCGCCGACGAAGGTCGTGACGTAATGGCCAGTAAGTTCGACGAATGACACACAATTGATCCGCGGTTGCCGACCGAAGCAGCAACTAAAACCACTCGCGACGCACGCGCCTCTAGCGACGTCATAATCGCATTATCAGCCAGCAGCAGCAGCAGCAGCACTCACGAGTTCTTTACTCTCCTCCGTGAAGAACTTGTCGACGTAGAGATATCCGACGGCCGACATCATCTTCTCCTGTATTTCCTCGATGCAGGCCGTCCAGCGTGGTTTCGGCTTCTCGACGCCTCGGATTACCTGCAAGCGCATGCAAATCCCGCCTCCGTCATCGCTCTCTAGTCATACGCTTATTACATTACTGCTCCTCGCTATAAGATACTCGAGGAGTTGTCGTCCGCTGTAGAGGATCTGGAGCTCTCGGCGCGCGCTGGGTTTTCAGCCAGGGCAGGCCATGCAGGATTAGATCGCACTCAGTGGTTGTTGACGTGCGGGCTGAGTGGTTGTAACCCCTTCCACGTTCCTTTTTTCGAGCCATATTTGTAGCGGGAAGTATTTATAGCCGAAAATGGATTGTCGCGTCCGATTTTGGTGTGATTTTATAGTCGCACAGGTTGTTGTTGTTGTTGTTGTTTTTAATCTACCCGCGGTTTAATGACGTTGATTTCTGTTGATTTTCTATAAAGTTTCCCCCCTCATTTTTATCTCGGTTACTGCAGGATGTTAGGATACGACGGGCATAGCCACAGGTGCAAATCCGTGTACTATATTATACTCTGCTAACACGTTTTACCTTTTCGAATTGAAAAGCTGCTTCTCGGAAATTTGAGCTCAAGTGAGGCCAAGCCGTATCTGCAATTACTCGCCAGATCAAATAGTTTGCGACCACTCTGCGAACAAAAAGTCAATGATAACAGAGTGATATGAAAGTGGGTTGAAATGTTTACACACATAATTTAAATTTGACGCCCTGGGATAAGGACTAGTCCTACTAGCGTTTTACTGTAATTATAAGACTGCGTGAAGTCAAGCAAGTTTTTACCTAAAGCAATAACGTTTTGATTGGCTCAACGAACATTAAGTTTGCTTACACAGAATGCCGCGAGGTCATTTGACTTAAAGGACCAAATAGATATCGAAAGGCAGAATTGGCTATTCGGCAATATATCGTGCGATATAATCGGTTCAAATTATTATTATTTATTACGCAACATTGTCGCATTTAACCATTCCGCATTCAATGTTATCTTGTGCGAAACAGCGTTAATTACGCATTTCAGCGATTAGCATTAACGAGAGCGATCCCACGGATTACCGTTCGTCGTATTGGCCCGACGTGAGAAGCTGTTCTAGGCTCGCAAAGTAATCGGGCTGCCGTACGATAATAATCTCATTTTCGTCGACTTCCACGCCCTCTGGCATCGACAATTGCACCAATCTTAGCCAATTTATCTGCAAATAAATAATGGATTACGGGAAGGAATACGAGCGGAATTAATTCAATAATCGTCGGGTAATTTAACTTAAATTGCATTAAATGTGATGTATGCAGCTGGTTGACTTTCGACAGCTAGAAACGGTGGAAAGCTGAAAAGTGTGGAACGTAGAAAGCTTGAATAAATGTTTAAACTAATTAGACGAATTCTCATTTGCTGAAATATAAATTATTTTCGCCGTCCTTAATTTAATTTAACGTTACGAGCGAAAGTAATGCACGTCTAATGTGAAGGTACTTGCTATGTTTATGGTCAATACGAGAGAGAATAGTGGGGTCCATAATATGACGCGACATTTACGTACCGACTTATGCGTTTCCGTTAGGTTGCGTAGCGTTCGAGGATTGTACATAACGGAATAGTTACGTCTCAGGTTTGGATGCGCAACAATCTGAATGAATAAATATAGATTCGGGTTGATGTTATCATTAAAATTTGTTATCTGTGTTAGACTACAGTATACGTGAGTTGTGTTTGAACTGGCCCGGAAGATGGCGCGTCATGCTCATGATTCGCTTGGAAAATTTGTGCGTTGCTATTATATCTTAAATAATTCCATAACTAATACATAACGCAATAATTATATTGTACGTGCAATTCAGCGTATCATTGTATCAGTGATTAAAATGTGTAAAAATATACGTAATGAAAATAATTTAAAAAAAAATGTAAAATAGTGTAAAGCGTAAAATATTGCAAAAATGTAAAATGATTAAAAATAAACGTGTAAGAGTAATATATGTCCATGATCGGCACGTTAGACATGATGTTATCTTACACGGTTTGCCTATTTAACACACGTGGTTTAATTATTTCTAGATGATGCTACCTACCTCGGCGATCGACGTTTCAAAGTTTCGAATCTGTTCCAACTCTGAAGTGTAGTCCCTGTTTACTTCTTCCGCTTTCAGTTGTATGGCTGATGCTATCATGAATTGGAAGTAAGCATCCATGTACTTTCTATACATTGAATTATTCTCGTAATATGTTTTGCTGCCCAGGCACAGGTCCGGCTGATCTAACTGGAAAGTGTAAAAAGAAAATATTCTAAACATTACACTAAAACGCCATCACTTCACTCTTATAGGTCAATATAATGACAGATGATAACATTTATATTCTATTGTTAATTGAAGCCACTCTCATCTGCAGTTGAACGCTAATTTCTTACCCCAATATCGCGTGCGTCTGTCAGGCTAGAATGCAGCCAACGAGTACGATTATATGGTTCGGTTTTCTTGTTTGAATTAGACTTGTTCCGGCGTGGGTTACTGAATCTTAGGGTTAGGGTTATGTTATTGTAATCCGGCTGGTTTCATATTGATATTTCTTTGAGTATAGCCGCTTTCACTTCTACGTTTGTCGAATAGTCACGAGTTTAGTAGAGTTAATTCCGAGCTGTCACACCCGTCTTACAAACCCGGTTTAGCTGTTTGCGGATAGTGAGTGGGCTCTACCAGTAAAAATAAGTCTTGCGCTTAGTAAAACATCACCGCTTTTAAGCCGCTTTTCCGAAGGGGTTGGTTACGATGTTAACTAAGTCTCTTGTAAAATGGTCTGTATATAGAATCATCGGTGTGCGTATATATATATATATATTGATCAGCATCATCCGCATTGCTGAATCTGTCTCTAAAGCATGGGATCAGCGCGTGTTAAATCATGTTTATTTCATAAAACACGACCAGCACAGAAGCTACAAAAAAATTACAATGAACTTTGCTTAGAGCCACAAAAACCACTTTATCTGCAAACGCTTGCCTCTGCATTGCCTCTGAAGTGAAATCGAACCGTTCTTTCGCTATAAACTAAAGGCTAATTAATTTTAACGGGTTACAGGCGTGAGCAAACGCGATCCGTACTGAATGCACTGTAACGATCGAGCGCAATATCGTCGGTCAGCGATCGCAACAGACAATCGTCGGAAAATTCACGAATGTATACGGTCAACGGACTACGCAATCTACACAGAGCGAGAGAAGCTGTTAGGCAAACACGAGAGAATAAATAGCACAAACGAGAGCGGTAAATGAGAAACAACGGGTTTGTTTGTTGTACGTATCCGACATGGGGGCGCGCTGTGCGGATACAGAATCAGGCACGTAGACGCAGACAAAATATTAGCTTTTCTAATGAAAGGAACATACGCGACTAACGAGAAGTAAGTTTGCCCCGAAGCTATATTTCTATGTACAGTTCGACGCTCCGAATTGTTTAAAGTAAAAAAAAACGTAAAATGTAGCTAAAGTATCTATAACTTCGGCTACATTCGAATGTTCAGTCTGTGTTAATATTTCTGAAACATTTACATGTAATAAATATAATATACAAATAAATGACTCGAGTTTTGTATTTTTATTATTTAAAAGCCCGCGTGAAAATAAAATTACGAGGCTTCTGAGTAACATCACGATAAAACTTATAACACATAGCGCGTGGTATATGGCGTTACACGTTATATTGGCCTTTTCCGTTTATGATTGCGCGCGCGCACACACACACGCACGCGCACACACCACACCAGACACGCACACCACACGCACACGCACACGCACAGCGCCACACGCACACGCAGCACGCACACGCCCGCACACGCACACGCACCGGCACGAGCACGCACACGCAACCACACGCACACACACACACAGCACGGCGCACCGCACACACAAACCCACACCCGCACGCAGCGCACACACATGCACACACACACACACAACCCACACACACCCACACACACGCACACACGCACACGCCACTCACCCACACACACACTACACACATCACCCACACACACACACCACGACACAGCACACACACGCACACGCACACCGCACACGCACACAGCACACGCACACGCACACGCACACGCACACGCCACACGCCACACGCACACCGCACACGCACCGCACGCCACACGAACCCGCACACCACACGCACACGCACGACGCACACGCACACGCACACGCCACACTGCCACACGAGCATCACACGCACCGCCACATCGCACAGCTCACACCAACACACACACACACCAACGCACAAAACGCACACCACCCACCCACTCACCCACACACACACACACACAACCACACGCCACGCACACGCACACGCACACGCACACAGCACAACTCACACGCAACAACACACTACCTACAACACACGCCAAACGCCACACGCACACGCACACGCACACGCACATGCCACGCACACGCACCGGCCACTGCAAAGACACGCAACGTACAACGCACACGCACACGCACACGCACACGCAACGCCACCCACACTGCACACACACACAAACCTAACACACAACACACACACACACACACACACACACACAACGGCTCTTACTTTAAGAATGGTAGCGTGACGATGGCAGCAATCGACATCTACAGCGAGGTATACGAGCTGTGAGTTGAGCCATCCGTCTCACTGCGCTGCATTCAGCATCGTCATTCGAAACGTTGACGCGGTTCCAATTAGCCATCGTCACGTGGTCAGCCGCCATTTTTGCAAGTTCAGCCAGGTAGTCCGAAGACTGTTTATCTACCGTCTCTCTATAGAATCTTCGAGCAAAACAACGCGAAAAAAGCTGACTACGGTGAATTAGACGGACGGCAGACCATCTTTTCACAGCGAGGTTCATGTGAAGATAGAGAAAATGTTGCCGACCACGCGAAATGCGTTGGTCTTACTAGTCTAGCGACAACAGCTAAAGTTATCATTGTCGCTGGTGACGTCGGGCATTGCGCATGCTTGATGCGCCTGATTATTTTATCCATCCTGTGGCGATGTATTAGTAGTTAACTACCAACATGGGGTGTGTGTGTATGGAATTATTATATACTTAATGACAATTAAGATGGTCACAAAATGAATGCCAACCAAATGAGGATTCATGCAGATTAGGATAACGCTATAAATGCCTAAGTTCAGTTAGTAGTCCGGCAGAAAAGGATGGCTTTTGTATGCATTGAACCTTTGCAATTGGTATAATAGTTTTTTATTGCTCTAAAAGTTTGGCCTCATAGTCTACTTCAATGATCCCAACTGTCAGGTGGGCTCTGGCAGTGGTGGGGAAATCTTAGCTCTACACACCCTTTATTTAAATACTAGCTGGCAGACCCGCTGCTCTTGCAAAATCGTGCTACTAATTCATACTACTAATAATCAGCACAATAGGAACATTGGGGAAAAATGGAGAATAACATTGCCACACAATCATATTTAACAAATCAAATCTAATAGATAATAAGCATTGGTAAAAACTGTTTACGTATGACTTTATATCACGACGCACAACCCAACTTAGAACCCTGGAACATAATAGTAATATGGCCTTGTAAATTGACAAAAAGTTATTATAGACAGCACTGTACGAATGGTGTTGCCACTTATTCATTTCCAGCCTCTTGATAAACAATGTTTTTCGTTCTTATTTCCTGGTGGCAAATATGTAGAGATTCCTGTCTCCAACTGTTTGAGCTCCCACGTACAGCGCGGGAGAAGCAGGACTGTCCGAAGGTTGCAGACGCGGGACTGACAGACAGCGATGGATTTTAGTGTTCTTGATGGCCTGTGCATTGCCTATGGCCAAGTACCTTGGCTCCTCAGTGATACAAGGCCAGCAACAGTAGCCCACTATGTAGAGGGATTTCAAAGCGATCGGTACACGAGCGCCTAAGGATGAGGATGTTATATCTCGTCTTGACAGGTATATTCAATACAGCACGCAAGTGTTCAGCCCGCAAGGCACGGGTCGCAGGTGTTGTAGGGGTTTCGCAATTACGTGATCAATTCACCGCTCCGCCACAGGACCAAGATTTAAAACATCTTCTCAGAACAAGAACAACTGACTCCAAATTATTTTGTGAAATTATCAAGGTGGACATGATGTACTGGGAGGCCATCCCCACACGTTAGTCATTACTGGCAAGATGAAATGCTGCTAGAGATTTCTCCATACGGCTTAGTAATTCAGGAACAGACCTCAATCAAACAGACCATGAAGAAGCAGACACACATGAGAGACACTATTGTTGAAGGCAGAATGACACAGATGTGTAACGTTCTGGTTGCTGTACCATACTCGATAGAGGCTTTACATCCCTATGATAATCAGTTCACAAGAAAGGCAGAGCTGTTGTGGATATTAGTGCTACAGTGATAAAAGCTTTCCAGTATCATTCCCGACATGTTACCAGAGCCATGCTCTGACAGGTTTGCGACACTGTTCCCATGTGCCACGGGGATCGGAAAGGGCAAGATGTTGAAAACTCTTCGAGGAGGGCATGCAGCTGGACCTCCTTGGGGAATCGAGATGCTGACTTTGATGATGTTTGCTCCTCCACAGCTTTTGTCTCAGCATGCTACAACACTGCATGATGCAACATCCATTGAACTGAGTCAAGAATTAAAGCTTAGAACAAAGACAAGTAGAAAAAGGAGCAACAGGTACACCGAAGCTGCCACCCACCATCGGAAGCAATTCAAAGAAGAATGTCAAAAGAGCACACTATCAGTGCCTGCAAATCTGAGACATGCCCTACAAGAGCCATCGCAGACCGTTATCCAACGGAATATGCTGGTAAGGGATAGGAAACTAAGTCCTACAGCTGCTCACTCTCCCTGTTCGGACTCTCCAGGCCACCAATTACATACTCAAGCTCATCAAGTGTTCTCGCTTTTTCGGAGAGTCCGTGCACTGCAACCAAGTCAAGGGCTGTGGTTGTAAACATTGCGTTAGACTGGCGGTGTACAATGTTTCTGCAATCGTCAGGGCAGTGCTGCCTTGTTGTAATGAACAAACTAGAGTCGTCCAACACGAGCCTTGATGACGAGGAAGAGAGGAGGAGCGAACATTAAAGCCACTGATTTTGTTTTTGAAATTGTACCAGCAAATGTGAAATTGTTAGAGTAACGGCATAAACTCATTTTCGTGGATCTTGGCGTGTTTAACCTAAGGAAGGTTTAAACGTAAATAAAAACCATCTTCATGCTACCATCACAGACGTTATCGCTTGTATACATCTCAACTATTTCCAATGTCAAATGTCATCTGTAAATGATGGTATAATATAATTTTTACATGCGATTGCAATCTCATTATTGAGCACTAGGCTTATTTAATCCAAATTCAATTGTTTTGATTGATCGGTTTTGATAAAATCACATAAAATAAATTCGCCCACAACTGAGCAACTGCCAGTTTGTTAGAAATGCTTATTTGGTGCAAGAACATAAGAAAAACGAACGTAAGAAAACTATATACTTTATGCAAAACCCCGCCATTATTTGTCAATCCTAATTCTGCCGACTAATGAGACAAACCAGTCTTACCTTCGTCCATGCACGCGGCGATAGAATATCTATGCACCTTTTCCGTAGCGTTGTTTAAACTTTGTAATACGGGTTGCTCTAAAATTCCTGTCATAAATAAAAAAAATCCTCGTTTAGTTTTGTGCTTTAAGTAATATGCTATCTTATTCAGCATTTCTTTGAAAAAATCAGTCATATATATGTGTGTGTGTGTGTGCGTGCGTGCGTGCGTGGTGCGTGCGTGCTGGCGTGGGCGTGCGTTGCGTGCGTGCGTGTTGTGTGTGTGTGTGTGTGTGTGTGCGTGCGGCATCATAATGATGCAAGACGTTTATGTAATCGTCTAGGGTTGGCCGTCGTACTCAGAAATAATTATTTTTACCGAGGTGAAATAATTCAACCGAGGATAAACTATTTTTACCGCAGTGGAAATAATTCACTGAGGATTAAACTATTTTTACCGCGGTAAAAATAATTCAACGAGGACTAAACTATTTTTACCGCGGTATGAATAATTGACTGAGGATAAATATTTGTGTGAGTGTGTGTGTGGTGTGTGTGTGTGTGTGTGTGTTTGTGTTTAGTCGTGTGTGTAGGGTTGTGTGTGTGTGTGTGTGTGTGTGATGTGTGTGTTGTGTGTGTGTGTGTGTGTGTGTGTGTGTGTGTCTGTGTTTGTGTGTGTGTCTGTGGTTTGTGTCGTGTGTGCTGTGCTGTGTGTGTGTGTGTGTGTGTGTTGTGTGGTGTGTTGTGTTGTGTGTGTGTGTGTGTGCCGTGTGTATATTATATATATATATAATTTATATATATATAATATATGTGCTGTGTGTGATGTACTGCTGTGTGTGTGTGTGTTGTGTGCTGTGTGTGTAGTGTGTGTGTCGTGGTGTGTGTGTTGTGGTGTTGGTGTGTATGTGTGTGTGTGGGTGTGTGTGTGTTGTGTGGTGTGTGTGTGTGTGTCGTTGTGTGTGGTGTGTGTGTGTGTGATGTGTGTGTGTTACATTAACGTAGTTTCTTTTCTGGCAGTATGTGTATCTTGAACTGAATTTGGGGCGGGGAGCAGCATTGGAGATCAAATTGAGGAATGGCTATGTATGCATCGATGTATTACACACCCTGCGCATGTTCTCTGATGGCCGTGCATGTCTTCCATCCTTGATTCTCGTCAATTTACACTTTCATGTTTTATGGCGTTACAGCGTTTTCAATTTCTATCGGGAAGCAATTGTCAACAACGACGTCGACTCAGTACGGCACAGTGATAAACTCCCGTCTACGTTCTTTAGGAATACGCGTCGCCGGATCTCTCCGCGTTTATAACACACTATGGCGCATATATATGTCTGACAGTACGAACCACCGCTGGCACGCGCCAACCCCCCCCCCCGTCTACGCGCCGGTCTACCGTTCGGCTTCAAAAATGCAGTAGTAGCCGTTGGCAGCTAGGCGCACGATTTACTGCACATCGCGACAGTGATCAACAGAAAACTTCGGACCGCCACAGGCATCCATAACCAACGACGGTTATGGGCTTGCGGGTCGGCACAGGGGTGAGCGTCTATAGTCCCTCCGGCTGACGAGACGACGAGAGAGATATATTAGATATACTAGCATTACGGTTAAGCGTGGTTCTGTAGTTGTCATGTCCATTAGGTCGAAGTTGCTGAGGTGACGGCCTTGTCGTCGTCGGGATCGAGATGAGTCTTCACCATCCACGCACGGTACTCGAAAAGTCATCGCATGGATCTACCTCGTGTTTAATGCTTCCAAAAATATATTAGCTGCAGAAGTCAATCAAGTCGGAGACGAGAGAGGAGAGAGACGAAGCCGATGAAGACTACGAATAACCGGTTAAAAAAAAGGGTTACTGATTATTGTAATACACGTATCCACGAGCAGAACAAAATTGATAAGTATAATAGTCAGTAATCATAACGAATTAAAAATTGATACAACAAATCCAGATTATTATAAGGAATACCATTTTATGCTACAATTTAAGTCAATATATATATATATATATATATATATATGTGCTATTATATACTATTATTAACAACTATATTTCTAATTAACGATCATTATAAATATTATAAACAATGACATGGACCGGAATATACGCAAAGCATCAATTCGCTAGCTTATTGAAAACACTGAGCTCTGATTGTTTTCGCTCAACACGTTTGTTTATGTATTAGACGAGTGACTTTTATTACATTTCACACGCACTAAGGCGCCGATACCCGCATGCCATCGTGCAGGTTTTTGTAATTAAATTTGCATCACGTAATTAGTCGGATTACTAAGCAACTAAGCAACTGCTGGTAACAACTCAATTCCGTCCAATTAAATGCCATAAACTAGCAGAAATGTATTCAAATGATCACCTAATGCATGATATGTGTATGGCCCATACTTACCAGCCTTTATACAGCCTGGTGTTAAGCAGATACGACCCTGCTTGTCTTTAATTTCTGTGGGCATAAACGAATTATTGTTAATATGTATAGACATGCCCTATATTATTATTATTGTTATTATTGCGTATATAATGTTATAGTCGTTCCCACGGACATCCACGCGTACATGCCACTATCGTCAGATATAAAGCAGACTGGTTCACACGCTTTAGGAAAAAATAAAACCTATTATTCATATAATGTAAAACAAGTTGTCTCATTATGACGTCGTTTTATTTTTAAGCGGAGATTAATTACACGGATGAATAGCATACCGAATTATTAAACCATTGTACGTGAAATGTTCATTAAGATAACACACCGAGGTAAATTATTAATCATTTGCGGACGACGATATTCACGAAAATCCATTTTACTTCTTACTGGCTAATACGAAAGGAGATACAATAGATATGACTACATACTACGTAATAAATCCTGGAATTCTCCGCTGTTGTTAAATAATAAGTTAAATTATTGTAGCGCCGATGCAGACATTATACCCGAATTAATATATGCAACAGTATTCATGAAAATCTCGATGTATTTGATAACAAAGAAGTCAATCGGCTTACCGTTTGTATAAAATAAAGCAAAGCCTATTGCAATCGCTGCAATGACCAGTAGTAACAAAACTACAAGCAGCACTAGACATTTCTCCGCCTTGCTGTGTGTTTTCGACCTGCGAAACAATGTTTGTACATGTATTAGCCTCATCACATTAATTAATATGCCAGCCACTTAAAAAAGGATGGATTACGCAAACCACTGGACAGTGCCAATGAGGGGATCTTCCAAGCCGTACGCACGTTTAAGATACAAACATTTCGTATATTTAATATCGAATCAGAGTGAAAACATTGAACATTAGCTCTTGTCGTGTATGATCTTACTTATTATAGTATTGTTATTATATATAGCATTATATATATATATATATATATATATAGTATATAAGATATCTTCTTATAGTATAGTACAGTATAGTATCATAATCGCTGCACTATATCTTCCGGTACATTAAGGATTACATGGACCAGTTTTGCTCGACGTGAATGCTATAATATCAACGCGATGCAACCATGGGCTTCCTCCACTATCGTAAGTTACTATCATATCCCTGGCATTAGCCGTGGAAACATCTCAACACACCGACGCCGTAAATATAACTGATTGTGATGCTCTTGTTTTATGCTTTGTGTAAAACTATTAAACCAACCGAACTCGCTATGCGAGGCTATCGCAATGAGATTACTGTAGTGGCATCAAAGATAGCGTGCATGGTCACCTACACGCGTTATCCTCGTAAATCTTAATAGTGCGTAATGTCTATTATGTAGGTATTCATCATTACAAGGCGAGCAAAACATTGTGAATCTCCTGAAGCCGCGGATGGGTTTAAACTAGCCGGCTACAGTAGTAATTCCGCCTTTAGTGTCATCGAGGGAATGCCGACCCTTTTCAAATCGACATAGGGTACACATGAGAGTGGCTCGCAGATTATTATTTGCCTGTTAACACGGCGTATCAAAGATTGCCTGCACTCGTATATCTCGAAGCTTGGCCTGATGTGGCTGCTGCACGTTTTAGGTGATTATTTCTTTCACATCGCGTCTCTATAACTTCCATCATTTCTTCCCTCCCTCCATCCTTACTCATGTATGCATGCAAACATGCAAGCGGGCACCCACGCACGCATAGACTCTCACTCCCTCCCTCTCTCCCTTCCTCCCTCCCTCCCTCCCTC